GTGTAGTTTCTATGGCCCAGGTGTAGTTTCTATGGCCCAGGTGTAGTATGTAGTTATGCTGCCTTTAGCTTAGACTACTAGAGGACAAATTGACCTAATTTTCTTAAATGAATTGTTAAAATTGAATAGTTTTCATTTGAAATTATCTTAACACATTTTATCTTAACACGTGATTCTTGACCTGCCATTGTGTATCTGTTCCTACGAAACCCAGCCAGTCAAAGTAGATGGCCGCTTGTCCTGAGCCTGGTTCTGCTAAAGGTTTCTTCTTCATGAGAGAGTTTTTCCTCAGAGAAATAATGTTAAATTATTGTTTTTATAAATGAATGTTTCTGTTCAGTGCCCTGAAACGACTTCTGTTGTGACTTGGTGCTATAGAAACAAACTGAATTGATATGTGAATCATTGAAATGCACATAAATTGAGTTATGTGCCAAAAATAATGAACGTAAGTAAAACAAAGCTAAAGAATGTGAAGGCTTTGGAAGCTTTCACACAAAAAGCTGGTGAGGCAGCGAACAAAATACTAAAGATAATCTACGAGACACATAAGGTTGTGTTCGTTTTCCCAACAAAACAATAAAGTTGGTAAATCTGGGACGTTGACGGTCACATACTGCACCAACATGAGAACAACTCAACCATAGGAAGAGTAATGCCAAGACCTGAAGGGTAACGAGTTAAAGATTGACCTCCGTCTTCCTTTGACTCCCTGAGTTGTATTCTAACCCTTACGGTTCGGTTGTGTAGGTTTGTGTTGACGGTCGTACAATGAGTCCACTGGAGAGAGAAAACGGTTCAGATTGATTATTAAAAGACAAGAAATAGAACGAGATGTGCTTCTGACTGCAGCTGTGGAGATGTGGATGTGCTCTGCGTCACAGGGGGTGAGTCAAAATGGCCCATAGGTCTAATTTAGAGGAATGACATGAACGTGTGTTTGTGTGTGTGTCGTCCTCTGCCAGACATCAACCAGACAGTCCGGATCATCCTCTACAGCCTCATCTTCCTCCTCAGCGTCCTGGGGAACAGCCTCATTATCGCCGTCCTGGTGAGGAACCGGCGCATGAGGACCGTCACCAACCTGTTCCTGCTGTCCCTGGCCGTCAGCGACCTCATGGTGTCCCTGGTGTGCATCCCCTTCACCTTCATCCCCAACCTCATGAGGGACTTCATCTTCGGCACTGGCATATGCAAGCTGGTCATGTACTTCATGGGTACGTGGCGGCGCTTTGCCAAAGTTCTCACGTAGAGATTAGAACCATCCATCTGTCCGTCTCCGTGGAGACTCCTCGCTTTTTGTCGTAATCGCGTTACATCATGTCAAACGGAGGATAATTGCAGTCCTGCTCAAGGTTCATTTCCCTCCGTGTCCAAATGCTCCTGGAGGTTTGATGAGCGTGAGCTAAAAACAGTCCCGCTTGTAGAAGCAGCAAAAAAACTTCATCACGACTTTCCTGACTTCCTGTCGTCGTGCGCTGTTGTTTCTTGATCTGTGAGAGTCCCTTCCAGGGGAAAAAGGTGCACCGAACGAACTTTGCATATGGATGTTTCTTGGTTCACTTTCAATCAGCCCAAATATAAACAAGATTTGAAAACCCCAACTAAAATATTTGCTGCCCAAAATTCAGATGAAACCATTCAATAATCTACAATTAAGCTAAATATTGGCTCCATTTGGAGATTTAAGCTGCGTAAAACATGAAAAGAGAAACAAGATCAAAAGAAAAATGAGCTAGCAGCAACAGGGGCTCATTGAGTTCACCATGGTAACCATACACCTGTGTCTCTCACTCCCTGAGAGCAAGCAAATGGGAACAGACTGAAAAGTAAGGCTCAAACAGTCATTGTATGAAAACTATAAGTTCAAATCATCAAAGTTCATGCTCAATAATCCAGGTAAAATAAATCCAACAAAGTTAAGTCTGGTCCTCTGGACAGTTTCTTTTTTTTTTTTTTTTTGGTTGAAATGTTTTGCCCTTCATCCAAAGGACTTCTTCAGTCCAAGGAGCCACAACAAACTCAGTCCCATAAGTGGCTTACTTACATAGTGGGTCAACCAGTGGAAACATTTAAACAAAACAAGAAATCGGATTACTGAGCAAGAACTTTGGCCATGAACTTTGGTTCATGCTCAATAATCCAGGTGTAAAATCCAACAATGTTCAGTCAGGTCATCTGGATGGTTTCTGGACTAGCAAACTGTTTTTCTCCTATTATGGAGAATGTCGTTTGTGGGAATCAGTTTTGTTTGTTGGTTGCTCCTCAGATTGAAGAAGTCCTTTGGATGAAGGACGAAACGTCTCGAAAAGAAAAAAAGAAACAGTCCAGATGACCTGACTGAACATTGTTGCACTTTGGCCATGGCTGCCTCAGTTGAGTCGGTGGGGGAGAGGGCGAACTCAAGAAACCATCTTAGCACCATCAAACTGGTTGGCCCACTATGTGAGTGTGCTGCTTGTGAGAATGAGTTTCTTGTGGCTCCTTGGACTGATGAAGTCCTTTGGATGAAAGACGAAACGTTTCAACACAAAGAAACCGTCCAGAGGACCTGACTTAACGGTAACTTTGTTGGATATAAGTTCAAATCGTCAAACTTCTTTATTCGCTTTCAATTTGACTGGACTGATGAGATAATTGTAAATATTTGAATCCAAAGTGGACTGCTGCCGTCCTAAAAGTCAAAATGGCAGACTAGGTTTCAGCTTGTTCATCCAGTCAGAATTTGACTTTTGTCTTTTTTTGTCTTTCCACAAAACTCAACCTCAAAAGACTTGAATCATTGTTTTAAGGTAAAAAGAACAAGCTCAGAAACATTAAAATGCATTTCCCAGGATAAATGACCGAGTTAATCATTTCAAATTTGGTGACTGGACGTCTTGAAACAATCCTACTGGATGCCAGTTTTTATCGAATGTTTTCTGTATCTTAAAAAACACTTGTTGGTTCAGTTTGGAAATAACTGAGCGCAGGGAAAGGAAGAAAAAAAAGACACAATCTGAGTGGCCTTCGTGAGTCAACAGGGACATGTCAAACCTAATCAGTTTAAAAGCTGAGGAAGACAAACATTATTCACCATCATCAGCTGCCCTACATTTTATCGTTCATGAATATAAACTTTCAGCCCTGATTTTCTGCCAAGTTTAGACTCTGTAGCATTTCCAGTGAGTCGCTGCTTTGGATCAGATGGTATTTTCTCATCTTTCTCAGACATTTTGTTCCAGATTTGGGCTTCCCTTGTTAACACTGTGAACCATGAATCCATTGAGAAATACAGTGACCTACGGTGGAGACCCCTTAAAAGATATGTAACATGCCGGTTTGGGCACTCCTTTAGGACTCCTTTCATTTTCAGGCTTTTTGTTTTTGCTTTAAACGAGTCTCAAGACATAAGAGACACTTGAATGGTTCGTTACCAGTTTACATTTTGTGAGATTTTTTTTCCCAAATTACTTTATGCGCAAACCATAGCAGAAATTAAAGCTGATAAAACATAAGCCAAGAAATAATTTTATAACTTATACAAAATACTAAATGCCTCAGTATGGGTCCTTAATTACGATGGAGAATTAGGGTCACGCTAAGAAAAAAAAAAAACGTTACTAGGAAAATGTCATAAAATTACGAGAATAAAGTCATGGTATTACGAGAATAATGTAAATTTACAAGAATAAAGTCACACGAGACTATAGCTGAAATATTACAAGAGTAAAGTTGTAGTATTACATGAGTAAAGTCATAATATTACTATAATAACGTCATACAAGAATAAAGTCGAAACATTTTGAGAATAAAGTTGTAGTATTATGAGAATAAAGTTGTAATATTACTATAATAAAGATGTACAAGAATAAAGTAAAAAAATATGAGAATAAAGTCATATTATGAGAATAAAGTCATAATATTACTATAATAAAGTCGGACGAGAATAAAGTTGAAACATTTTGAGAATAAAGTTGTAGTATTATGAGAATAAAGTAATAATATTACTATAATAAAGCCGTACAAGAATAAAGTTGGAAAATTATGAGAATCAAGTTGTTATATTATGAGAATAAAGTCGTAATATTACCAGAATAAAGTCAAACTATTATGAGAATAAAGTATGAGAATAAAAAAGAAAAATTATGAGAATAAAATCTTAATATTACGAGAATAAAGTCAAACTATTATACCATACCATACCAATTTATTTATAGACCACTTAAAACAGCAACAAGGCCAATCAAAGTGCTGTAAAATAGAAACAAATAAGCACATTGTAAGAATAAATTACGAGAATAAAGTTGTTGTATTACAAGAATAAAGTCAAAATATTATGATAATAAAGTTAAAAAATATATTATGAGAATAAAGTAGTAATATAAGATTAAAGTCATACGAGAAAAAAGTCGAAACATTTTGAGAATAAAGTTGTTATATTATGAGAATTAATTCATTCTAAAGTCAAAATATGAGAATAATGTTGTAGTATTATGAGAATAAATTTGTAATATTACGAGAATAAAGTCAAACTACTATGAGAATAAAGTATGAGAATAAAGTAGAAAAATTATGAGAATCTAATTGTTATATTATGAGAATAAAGTCATACTATTACAAGAATAAAGTCAAACTATTATGAGAATACAGTACAAGAATAAAGTAGAAAAATGATGAGAAGAAAGTCGTAATATTACGTGAATAAAGTCAAACTATTATACCATACCATACCAATTTATTTATAGACCACTTCAATCAACCTTTATTTATACAGGTAAATCCCATTGAGCCTCGAGGACTCATTTACAAGAGAGACCTGATTTCAACAAAGAAAGATGACAACAATGGACAACAGCAACAACAATAAACAGTTATAAAAAAGCATACTACAGTTTTTTTTTTTTAACAAATAGGATGGCTAAAAGGAAAAGGAACAAAACAAAAAACAGCTAGATTCCAAGACAAATGTAGAAAACTAAAAACAGGAACATGTCTGCATTGGACCCTGCCAGGAGTCCAACAGATTCTTAAAGACACTTAGAGAGGTCAAGTTCGAGAGCTTCAAATCTTTTTGTAAGATATTCCAGGAAACAGCAACAAGTCCAACCAAAGTGTTGTACAATAGAAACAAATAAGCACATTGTGAGAATAAAGTACGAGAATAAAGTCATCATATTATGAGAACAAAGTCGTTGTATTACAAGAATAAAGTCAAAATATTATGAGAATAAAGTAAAAAATATTATGAGAATAAAGTCGTAATATTATAAGAATAAAGTCATATGATAATAAAGTCTAAAAATAATGAGAATAAAGTTGTTATATTATGAGAATAAATTTGTATGAGAATAAAGTTGAAATATTATGAGAATAAAGTCGTAAATTACGAGAATAAAACTGTAGTATTTCAATATGAAAGTCGAAAAATTATGAGAATAAAGTCGTAATATGATAATAAAGTCATGAGAATAAAGTCAAAATATTACAAGAATAAAGTCAAAATATTATAAGAATAAAGTCATAATATTACAAGAATAAAGTCATATGAGAATAAAGTTGAAATATTATCAGAACTCCGACACACAAAAAGACAGTCTTACAACTGCAGTGAAATGATGAATGTTGAGCATCTTGTTAAGTTATACTTTGATATTGGTTTTACAAATGAGGAGATAGTTAATCTGTTAGCACATCAGCATCCGATTATTATCAGTATCAGGACTTTCAAACGATTGTGCAAATGACTATGTCCGTTTCAAAGAAAGAACCACAGATTTGGAAGATATTGCTTTTCTCGTGGAAGAGGAGCTTTCTGGCAGTGGTCGACTGGAAGGCTATAGGTGGTTACATCTGCGTGCCTTTCAAAGAGGTTTTGTTGTTTCTCTGCAGACAATGAGGATGGTCATCAAGATTTTGGACATTATTTCGACTTTATTTTCTTACAACTTTATTCTCGTAATATTATGACTTTATTTTCATTAATATTATGACTTTATTCTCGTACAATTTTATTCTCAAAATATTACATTATTCTCGTAATACTATGACTTTATTCTCGTAATATTATGACTTTATTCTCGTAATTTTATGACTTTATTCTTATTAATATTATGACATTATTCTCTTTAATATTATGACTATTCTCGTACGACTTTATTCTCATTAATATTATGACTTTATTCTCATACGACTTTATTCTCATTAATATTATGACTATTCTCGTACGACTTTATTCTCAAAATATTATAACTTTATTCTCGTAATATTATGACTATTCTCATTAATATTGACTATTCTCATACAACTTTATTCTCATTAATATTATGACTTTATTCTCATATGACTTTAGTCTCAAAATATTACAATTTTATTCTCATAATAATATGACTTTATTCTCGTTAATATTATGACTTTATTGTTGTATGACTTTCCTCTCAAAATATTACAACTTTATTCTCCTAATACAACTTTTTCTCCTAATATTTTGACTTTATTCTCCTAATACTACAACTTTCTCATCATATTATGACTTTATTATTGTAATATTATGATTTTATTGCTGTACAACTTTATTCTTGTAATTTCATGACTTTTTTCTCGTAATGTATTTTTTTATGCTGGTGAAGATTCTCAGTCATCCAGGACATGATGAATTCAAAAAGCGTTCAATACAAAAACAAACAAAAACAAACAAACTTTATTTCCCTCCTCACTCTCTGCTCTTTGAATTGAGAAAGCTCCTCGGATGAGGAGCGAAACGTCTTCTGTTACAAATAAAGTCCAGTTGTTTTTGTATTGAACGCTTTTTGTATTTTTTTTAATTAACGTGGTCCTAATACTCCGTCGTACTTAATGTCACATGTCTAGATCTTTGTTTCTTTTTGCGTCTCTTTCATTAATTAACCTTCAGATATTCAAAATATTTCATGACGAATTGCTTCAAAGGGGCGATTCAGTGCATTCAGGGATGTGAAGCTCTTTTCTGTCTTTAATTTGTCAGTGATACGGATAATACTTCTTCTTGTGCTTTGCTCGGACCAATAACGAGGAGGAGTCGTTACAGATGATGTGTTGAAAACTCATATTTCATTTTCATCCGATTACAGCCAAACAAGGAAATGTGAATTTAATTTCCCCTCCTCACCGTTGCTCTATTTAGCCGTACACGGAGATTAGTGTGCCGTCTTTGGGGATCACGACATCATTTGTCCATGTTTTTATCCGCTTATGTGCCATTCCTCTTGTATTATGTCCAACAATATGTATTTATAGAACTTGATTATTGTTAGGGATTGTGTTCATGCTGATCAGCCGGCGCAGGATGTGCTCTGTTGCTGCTCAGCAGTTAAATCTGACTAAACATTAACGTGCGACGTCTTCACAAACATTACACTGAATATTTTAGGAGGATGTCTGGAAGTTGTGAAGATTAATTATTAATAAAACTGGATTAATACCACTTTTCTGTCATTTTATTTGACATAGAGCTACACAACTGAAGGCAGTTAGCCTAGCAAGACATAAAAGGTTAACTTTTGTGCCTTGTTTGGGTAATCGCCTAATGTTAGCCCAACAAAACATAAAATTTAGCCGGTGTTGCTAAGCTAACCACCTATATCCAATAATGTTCAGTCAGGTCATCTGGACAGGTTTTTTTTTTTTTGTCGAAAGACGTTTCGCCCTCTATCCAGAGGGCTTCATCAGTCTGAGGAGTCCCAAGTATACTGTTTCCCCCACTAAGCAGTACACTCCATTAGTGGACCCACCAGTTTTCTGGTGATTCTGTGTGCTGTCCTGGCCCCCGTCAACTCCTCTCAGGCAGGAAGCCACAGCCAAAGTGGTTCAAGACCATTATTGGATTTGGTACCTGGATGATTGAGCATGAACTTTGATGTCTTGAACCACTTTGGCTGTGGCTGCCTGCCTGGGAGGAGTCGACGGGGAACAGGACAGCCCCCAGAAACCATCACCAGCAAACTGGTGGTTAGATTCAGTTACAATTCAGAGGGCTGTTATGCAACGATGACGCAATTACCAATTTATTTTGACTAAGGATGGCAGGCGGCTGATAAATGGAGGCCGTGCCAGAAACCTTCAAACTTAACCCCACAGGCATTATCTGTACCCGCTTTTTCTTTTCTGGGTTGCTGGTGCCCATGTCCAGCGGTGTGTAAAAGGCAGGGTACAATCTGAACAATTGTCCATCACAGAGCCGCGTAGAGACAAACGGCCATTCTAACTCAACAAAGTCCATGCTCAATAATCCAGGTATACGATCCCAACATTTTTCAGTCAGGTCATCTGGACTGTTTTTTTTTTTTTTGTGCTGAAACGTTTCACCTTCCATCCAGAAGGCTTCATCAGTCAAGGGAACACACAACACAAAACTGATTCTTCCCCCAAACAGCTTACTCCAAAGTGGATCAAACCAGTTATGTTGGTGCAAAGATGGTCTTTTTTGGCACTCCCCCTCCTCCGGTGCCGGCCCTCTCCCATTCAAACTCTCAGTCACACAATTATCAGCTAGCCTGGCAAACTAGTACTTACAGTTACAGTAAATGGTCAGGTTCTTGGAGTTCCACCATGGCCATGGCTGACTTCTACAAAGCCAATATGAGAGCCTCACGAAACCATTCAGAAGCAATGTATCTAGTGAACCGTTTTATTTTTAAAAAGTGGAGTATTATATGTTTTGTCTAAAATAATGTCAATAAAAAAAGACTACAGATTCTAAGCCTTGCTGAGCTCAGATAATTGTTGGTATTTTTCCCCTCTGTTCAGGCGTCTCAGTGAGTGTTTCTACCTTCAACCTGGTGGCCATCTCTTTGGAGCGCTACAGTGCCATTTGCAACCCGTTGACCTCCAGGGCATGGCAGACGAAATCGCATGCAGCCAAGGTTATCACTGCCACCTGGGTGGCGTCCTTTATCCTGATGCTGCCTTACCCCATTTCTAGCACCCTGAAGCCCTTTACCCGCCTCAACAACAGCACTGGACACATGTGCCGCCTGGTGTGGCCCAATGACGTCATCCAGCAATCCTGGTGAGCTGAAATCAGGTTCACTGGGGGAGAATCATACCTTAGATGTACTGAGACATGAAAACCAGCAGGTTTTAGATGGCCAATTTATTTTCTCACTCTGGCGAAGCAGGTGTGAGACAGTCACAAGGGGAAAAACACATTTAAAAGACTCTGGTTGGTTTGTCAAGTCACTAACAGATGGAGCTTAAAACAGCTCAGAAAAGATGCATGGCTGATATTTGCAGATGTTTTAGCTGTAAAGTTTTTTCCATTTAAATTAACTTGTTCCTTTGAAATGTGTCTGTTTTAGGTACGTGTCTCTGCTGTTGATCCTCTTCTTGATCCCCGGCATTGTCATGATGACAGCCTATGGACTCATCTCCTTGGAGCTCTATCGGGGAATCAAGTTTGAGTTGTCCAAAAGAAAATCTAGCAGAGGTATGAAAACTATAAATTAATGCAACAATGTTTATTGTTGAACCGTAGCAACAACTCGATACTCCAGGTTTACCTAAATGTTTTTTTTTTCTATAATCTGTAGAGTAGTATGCTACATTAAGGAAGGTTGATTTCTGGGATATATTTGAAATAAATTTACATGGTAGCCATGGTGGGCACAGCTAACCAAAAAGTTGACTTTGCTAACCCATATTCCGCTAACTAAAAAATTAGCTTCACGTGTACAAGTAGTAATAGCGTGCCGTCAGCTAGCTGCTGATGCGCCAACCACACACGTCTTGTTACGTGTAAGCTAATAGACTTACTATTGGACCTAATGGACTCTTGGAGACACGTCCAGAACAGACAGGAACAAGCTTGCAAATTTAGTTAGTGGACCTAAAATTGGAGAAAACTAATTTAGCGGAAGCTAATTTCGCTAACCGTTTCCAAAGTTAGCTAACACGCTAACCGCTTGATGAAAATTAGTTCCGCTATTAGCAGATTAGCGGAACTTTGCCCAACACTTAATGGTAGTGTTAATTGTTTTACACACACACACACACACACACACACACCAGGAAATAGTATGTAGTGGTGTGAATATGATATGATGTAAAACATTGTTTTCATCAATCAAGAATAAACATCCCCAGTTTGGTTATGCTAATAGCGCATGCTAATAAAAATTGCACACATTTCGTTCGTGATCATAATGTTTGGCAAAGTGAGTCGTAGTTTGTGTAATTTATTTCTAAGTGTGTCCCAGTACAGTAGTCCCTCGTTTATCGTGGGTGTTAGGGACCACGCACACCCGCGATAAGTGAAAACCCGTGAAGTAGGGATACAGTAGTCCAAGTTCAAGTTCAGTAAACTTTGTCATGACATGTGCCAGGCTGCAATCACACATCACCTGTTACTCCCAATCTCCCTCCTTAAATAAGCAATTGAAATTTAAAAATATTACAGTATTTACATTTAAACTGTAGAGAAGAGAAGCGCAGCAGGACATCAAAGGGTTGACACAGCTTCACACAGCTTTTAACACTTTTATATTTTGTGATTATGACGATTTTACAATGGACAGAAAAACGTTGATCGGTGCAGCTGGACAGCAAGGCTGATGCAGGAAACGTGTGTGTGTAGCAGAGAAGGAAATCAGCTGATCAGGCTGCAGGATGGAGCTTTCCCTTCACTTGTGGGCTACACACATGGTGCAAAATCCATCCATCCATTATCTTTACCCACTTCTTCCATTTTGGATCACGAGGGTCGCTGGTGCCCATTGTCCAGCAATCACTGTGCCAGGGGCAGGGTACACCCTGGACAGGTCTCCAGTCCATCACAGGGACACATAGAGACAAACAACCATTCACTCTCTCACTCACATCTAGAGACAATTTAGAGTTACCAATCAGTCTAACATGCATGTTTTTGGTCTGTGGTAGAAAACCGGAGTACCCGGAGAAAACCCACGCATACACAGAGAGAACATGCAAACTCCACCCAGAAAGACCCCCGGACCGGGATTTGAACCGGCAACCTTCTCGCTGAGAGAAAGCAGCTCTACCAGTTGTGCCACAAATTTTGTCATGTCCAATCTTACTTTGAAAAACCACGATATAGCAACTGTAATTCTTCCAGAGGCTCTCAAATATAAAAGTGGAGCACCCTCTAGTGGACTGATATAAAAATTGAAAGTGTCGGTATAGAGGTAAAAAGAAAAGGCAGTACTGAAGAGTGCATTATTTTATGATATGATAAATACGGGATTTAAAGTTTTTACATTGTAGTCCAATATGGATGATTTTCCCCTTAAGAAACATGAGAGTTGTGAAGTTACTATGAGGTTATTTTGAAGAAATGCTGACACAGATTTTTAGGCTTCGTCAAAAAAAATTTGTTTATAGACCAACCTAAAATAAATGAATAAATAAAAACTGATGAAAATTAATGTGTGGCTGATTTTCCCCCAAAAGACGATGCAAGGGTGAACGCAGGATGAGATGACGAAGTTTGTTTAGCCGTTAGCACGACAACCAAAACGATGGGAATTGTTTTTAAAGCACGTGGCTTTGGCCCTGCAGTTTTGCGCATTCCAGTGTGGAATAAATGTGGTTACCGAGTCTAGTCGTATGAAGTAATTTATTTTTAAATCATGCTAAAATTCGAAAACGCACAAAAACAACACCGACTTCAAAAAGCTGATTAGTAATCTAAAGGTTTAAGAACTTTTTGTCCATCTTTCAATTGTCTTTAACTTGGTTATGTCAAGAAACTCAATGACTGGTCAGTTTATCACTGAAAAGACGGACGTTAGTTGTTAATAAGATTTGTGTTTATCTTTAGCCCCTTCGTGAAAAGTTTTGAATTATTGACAAATAGAAGTTCAGCTAGTTATACGTAT